GTCCTACTTTGGTTTTTTCCCTTTTCCCAAGGAGATCTGTTATGCATTAGAAGAAATTTGAGTTGAGTGGAATCCTTATTATTTGAAAGATTTCCTTTGTTTGTTACTGGGGATTGGACCCAGGGCCTTCACAGTGAGTTCACCCCTTTTCATGTTTTCTTATTTTGACATAGTGTCTTGCCAGGTCTCTGAGTTGGCCAGGCTGGGCCCAAACTTGACATCCTCCTGCCCCAGCCTCTTGAGAGGCCGGGATTACAGGTGTGTTCTGCTGTGCCCATCAAGATTTGTTAACAAGATTTACATAGCATCTCTCAATTTGCAGGTCATTCATTCGTCTGGCAAACATTTGTTGAGGACTTAGTCTCTGCTGGGTCAAGGCTGACTTGCATACAGATAGCCTTCAAGCTCCTGTGCCGTTTTACCCCACCAAGAGAGTGTGTGGCATGGTGGTCAGGAACCCAGGCTCAGGTCAGACATCCCCACTCTTCACTGTGTGCCTTGGGGAAGTCGTTTAACCTCTCTGTGCCACAGTTCTACATCTGTCACCTTCCTAGCAGCGCTGTTAGAGATCAGTGTTTAAAGCAGGGGTGGTGATCTTAGGGAGTGTCCGGCAGGGTTGTCTGAGTGCTTGTATTAAGCACTCAGTACCTGGTAGCCCATCTCGTTGTTATCTCTGTAAATGTGACTACCATTCCTCTAGTTGCTCAAGCAAAATCTAAGGTACATCCTTAACACAACTCTTACCGTTCCCTGCATCTGACTCATAAAAATTCTTCCAGAATCACCTTTGGAATCCATGCAGTGTCTACTTATTTCTCTCTACTACCATGCTGTCACAATCTAAGCCACTGTCATTTTCCATCTCCCAAACTTACAGCCATCACCTCCACCCTTAGCCAGTCTCCACCCAGCAGTCACTTTGAAGCTATATAAAATATGACCTTGGCTGGGAATGTAGCTCAGTGGCACAGCACCTGCCTGGCAAGTGCGAGGTCCTGAGTTCGATTCCCGTTACCATCAAAACAAAACAAAAATAAAATATGATCTTGATCTGTATAAAATTTAAAATAAAAACAGTGGTGGTGGCCATTGGTCACCAGCACCCTGTCCTCACCTAGGCTGACTTCCCATCCCTTTTGCAATGAAACCCAACCGCTTGCCCTTGACTTCAGCTTGCACATAATCTGACTTCATCTTGACCATTCTTCCCATTTGCTCACCTTGGCCTTTCTGGTGCTCCCACATGTTAAGCCCATTCCTGCCTCGGAGCCTTTGCACTTGCTGTTCTTTCTGTCCACAACACTGTTGCCCCAGCTGTTTACATGGCTGGCTCCTTTATGCCATTCAGGCCTTGGAAACATCTTCCTGGCTTTCCCTTTCTCACCTTAGCCTCTTCTGTTACCATAGTACTCGTCAGACTGAGTCTGTTTTGTTTTGTTTTTGTTGTTTTTTGTCTTCTGCCTCTGTTAGACTATAACCCGCATGGAGCAGAGCCCTTTCTTGTTTTAATACTGTATCCCAGCACCTTGAATAGTGTCAGATAAGTTATAGCTGCTCGGTACATTTTTGGGAGAATGAATGAATGGATGATCAGTGAGTCTAGTGGGGAAGACCATTGTTAAAGTATAAAAATACAGTTTGGAAGAAGAACAACTAGTTAATTATTGGACTCACTCTATATATGAGACACTATTCTAGGCCCTTTGCAGATGTGAACTCTTTAGATGGGAACCCTAGGGTGGACCCAACCACCTGTGTTTAATGGCCCCTGGACAATTCCCATCCACACTACAGCTGCAGACCACTGCTGTCCCCTACTTGAGGCTTCTCCTTGGTATTATTTGCTGTCATCCTGCGAGGTATACAGTGCCTTTGCTGCAGCTGCCCTATTGAAAAGTCAGTGCATTTTGGGACTAGATGATTGACCTGGGTGTGGCATTGTGCAAAACCACAGGTTCCCGGATTTCTGCTTTTTTTCCCTACCATTTTTCTGACCTAAGTGACATTTGGATATACATGCTTAAAGTTACTGTGGCCACGCCTTGTGGCCCAGGACTGTGGGTCTTCAAGGGCCCGTTTCTCTTTAACTGAGCTTAGATCCACATCTTGCTTTCAGAGCATCAGCGCTGCCCTTTACTGTTTTCCTACCACAGTAATTGTCCCGCCTCTGACTGGTCCCTGGTGATGTTCCGTTTTATCTGTGGGCGCTGACAGGAGGCAGTGCTGCTTTCTTTGTGTGGGCTGCTAAGAAAGCTTTAGTGCCTGTAGCAAGTGGCCAGGCTCTTACATATTGCTGTTTGTCCTCGTCTCACTCTTGGTTTTATCTAACTTTCCTCCTTTTACTTTTCTTTTGTCCTTTTTTCCCAACTGATGACAATTTTCAGTTTGTCTTACTATATACTATGACTCTTTGCAAACGGCCTTGATTAATTTTAGAGAGTGGTTAAAATAACTACTTGTTATGACATTTGATGGGTATAAAACAATTAACAGGTAGTAAACGGTGTCTTTTAAGTGGCCATTTCCATCTGGGTCTGTCTGACCCCAAGTCTCATGTCATGTGGACAGCAATTCAAACACTCAAAACCAACAAAACTGGGAATCCAGGGGGAGGTAGACAGCCAAGTAAGGCTAGTCTGGGCAGAAATACTTTAGTGAGTATTTAACCTCCCTTCTCCAGCAAATATTTGTAAATGAACAATTCCAAGAGTAATGGAAATTGTGGCATGAACGATCTACATGAGGTTAGAGATGCCTAGAAACAACTAAATCAGCGGATCCCAAGAGGTGGTGGGGGCATTGCAGATCTGTTATTAAGTGAGCGCTCTTCTGTGTACTTTGTGACTTAAAGCCCAAATGTACTTTTAACAAGCAGGTATACAAGTATTTCAAAAATCTACCCACCTCTGAATTAACTGCCACCCAAGATGGCCTGGACAGTTTTCAGAGTGAAGTCACACTGCGTGTCTGGTTTACTCACTGGATGACCTTAGCTTTGTGGCAGGTGGGAGCCCAGCTTGCCACGTTTCCCCTCATCTTTCTGCATTGTGAAAGGGAAAGGAAGGCACCATGTCTGTCACTTACTGAGGGTACCAGCCTGGGACCCAGCCAAGCACTAAATAACTCTCGCTCATCGTCACCATAAGTCAAGGGAGGGTAGGCTTAAAGTTGTGTGCTGCTAGATATTAATTCCATCTTTAATGTAGTTAATTTGAAATAAGCTGGAACTTGACAAAATCGAGTATGAAAAAGGACACTAAGCAGAACTTATTAAAATAGGACTTTGTTGTTCTTGCCGAATCTCCATTAAGAATCAAGTGAGATAATGGATATAAAAGTACTTTGTACTATTAGACTTTTGTGCAGTGTAAGAGACTATTACATAAGTGACATTTCAGTGCCTCAGCAGCTTTAAGGGTCTCTAATTAACAAGGAAGAGTTCTCTAAAGCTAGAGGGCCCTAGCCATTGGTTTCATTTGGGTCCAGGAGGAAGCAGTAGTGATGTCTGCTGAAATTAGAGCAGCAGATACCAGGAATGGACCTTTACAACATGAAATAGATAATTGGGGTATGAAGATGGCACATTAGCACCTAGTTACTCGCACTTGGATCTGAGCAGTATTTTAAGTCTGTAGTTGTAACTCTTGGGACCCTGCAGTGAGAAGGAAGGCAGCGAAATGTGTTTATTGAGTGACAGGCAGAGGACTTTCTTGGGTGTTGCGCTGATCATTTGTATGAATGGAAGGGAGCCAGCATGCACTTGACATGGACCATTTCTCCAAATAGATCTTGTTTCCCGCTGCCTAGCCCGTGTGTCTGACTCCATTCGGCCGGATGGCTTTCCCTCTCCCAGGCCTCCACACTGTCACACCAGTGTTGATCTGATACCAGCTGGTGCCCTTGACACAGGTCTTTGGGACCTTATAGATACCCTGTTACCCTGTAGCCAGCTGCCCCACCCAGCTCAGCTGTGTAGAGCCTAGACCTCCACTTCCAGATCTTAAGCCTGTTTCTTGGGCTTATTCCTTGAACATTTATGGGAGAGCATTGCCTCCTCTTAACAGTGTGCTGAAACAGATCTTCTCATATGGCAGAAACCCTTACCCAGTCTTAAGAACAAAATAAAACTGAAAATCACCTCTCTGTGTATGTTAGGTTGTTTGGTGGTGCTTGGGTAGAATGCCCTCTGCAAGCACAGTGAGGGAAGGAAAGCTTTAAGAAAGCCCCTGGTTCCCAGTAACTTAGTGAATACTTTGCATTTTTCCCAAGTTCATTTCATTCTGAAGTAAATTTACCACCATCACCACTCACAGGCTGATTTGGGTAAAGAACATCTTGTTCCAACTTCATGGTTATAAACTATGCTTAATTAATCCTGTACCCATAGCTGAAGGCAAAGTGAAGTAATTTGAAGGCAAAGGTTTCTCCTCTCTCTTATTTTAAAAACTTCCTAAGCCTGCCAGAGAAGGTGAGCGGTAAAACCATGGGTGAGGAGTAAGTGCCTGCTGCCCTCTTTTTACTACCTCTGAGCAGATGGCAAATGGAGCAGGTGAGACTGGGAACCACAAGCCTGGGGTGGGGGTGGGGTGGAACCCTGTGAATTAGACATTTTCTGATCCACTTTCGTGCAGACAATCAAAACAGAAGCCAGTATAACTGAACATGCCTGTAATCGCAGGTTCTTGGGAGGCTGAGGCAAGAGGATCCTAAGTTTGAGGTCAACCTAGGCAATTTAATGAGATATGTCTCAAAATAAAAAACGGAAAGGCCTGGGGCTGTGGCTGGGTAGTAAAGCAATTGCCCAGTGTGTATGAGGCCCTGGGTTTCATCCCCAGCACCGAAGGAAAAAAAAAAAAGATGTGGCTTTCACTCTGAAATGGAGGATGTCTTCAAATTCATGTAGTGTTTTAAAAGTCTGTGTGGTGTTTGTTCTGTGACTTTCACCAAGGGTGATAACCTGTGTCTCTCTGTTTTCTCTCCTCCCTGGCATGGGCACACAGCACGTGTGGAGTGAGAGCGAGGACTGCCTGCCTTTCTTGCAGCTAGCGCAGGATTACATCTCCTCCTGCGGCAAGAAGACACTCCATGAAGTCTTGGAAAAAGTCTTCAAGTCCTTCAGACCTGTAGGTGCCTGCTTGGCTTCTAAAGCCTGCTTGTTTTTTGCAGTGATTGTGTTTTAAATAAAGGGGATGGTGGGGAAAGTGGGCAAAGCCCCTGATGACTAATTGTTTTTCTTTTGTCAGCCCCGTGTGTAAAGATAGCAGCCAGGGTGGGGAGGCTGGGTAGGTGGGAGGGGGACAGGATGTGACACAGCTGTTTGTCGCAGGGATGATGCTTATTTCTAGCATCACTTGAGTTCAGTTGAGAATCCCTGATAGGGTAGGAAGCACACAGATCCTTTGTGAGATAATGGAGTGTTCTAGCGGCTTAAAACCCCAGAGCTTGGAAGCTGCTTCAGGAAGGTTGTTACCGCCATTTTTGCGGGCATGGTGAAGGATGAAACTGGATACTGGTTCTGTTCCTTTCTCTTTTTACAAAGTCTCTGGTACAGAGCTTGCTTTTTTCCTCTTTGCGTCTGGAGATTTAGAAATCTTTCTGTGGCTAGCTGACAGCCTAGTGTTCATGCTAACAGATAAACATGGAAAATGCGTTCTCACCCCTATTTTGAAGATTTGCTTCCCTCTCTCTTCATTGGAAGATAAAGTAAGATTACTGACATCATAACATTGCCCCCACATTCAGCTTTCTTCTCACTGGAACAGCTGCACACGTTTGCTCTAGAATTTCTGTTTATTTTCCCAGTCACTTTTAATGGTATTGGCTTCTCTACTGAAACTGTCAAGCTTGTCTGTTAGCCCTTTGAACACAGTAAGCCTGGTTGCATAATACCCTGTGTCTGACATTCCAGCATCTCAAGGTCTGTCAGTCTGGTTGGCATCTTTTGTGTCTGCTGGTTCTCCCTCCTGGTGCTTTGTTTCTTTGTGTGTTGGGTATCTTTATTTGCAGGTTAGTGTATTTGAAAGTATATGCATAGGAATAAATGGTGGCGTAAGATGACAGCGCCATCCTCCAGAGGAGATTGTTGTTAGTTCCTGCCAGGCCTTGGGAACCTATCTGTCTGAAACCACCTTCATCAGCTTCAGGCTTGTGCTTCTCCAAACATTCCAGATGCCTTGAAAGTAGACCTATCCAGCTAGACTTACTGGTGGATTGGAAGGGGATTGAAAAAAGGAAGACAAGGAGAACACCTCCATTTCTTGCCTGAGCAGTAGAAGGAATTGCATAGTCACTGACTGATGGGGAAGGTGGGAGGAAAGGCTGGAGGAAAGGTTGGAATATGGATACTAGCTGAGCTCAGTTTTGGACATGTCAGGGTTTGAAACTCCTATTAAATGTCGAAGTTGAGATACTGAGTCAGACAAAAAATTTTAAAAATTGATCTCTCCAAATCCTAACTAGAGAAAAGTATCAGTCAGCAAACAGTGTTCACTTAGCAGCTGGTTCCCTCCAGGAGTGCCCCCTACACACACACACCGCATTTTTCTCTGTGCAGATGTCGTTGGTGCTGGCAAGCAAAGCCTGTGCACAGTTACCTGGGGAAGCAGACACCCGCCAGAGTACATCGTGCTCTTTTCCTTTACTAAGTGTGTTGTATTTAAACAATCAGGCAGCCACATGTAAGGAAGGAAAACATGTCATCTAAACAAAAATCCATAGGTGTGTAGCTGAAAGTAGTTGTGTTGGTGGAGTATTTTCCCTCACATTGAACTGTGTGCCATAGAGACAGGTTTGGTTTCCTGGTGCTGGGCTTCCAGGTTTCACGAGCAAAATAGAGCCCTGCATTGCACCTGAGGTGTGGAGATGCTGCTCCCAAGGTATGGAGGCCTTGAGCAGTTGTGGTGCCCCCTTTTGGTGGGGAGACACTAGTGGGAGAGCTGGTGGCTCTTGGCTTGGCCTCTTTGCCCTCAAGGAACGGCTGGTGGGTGGCCCCCTCTCAGCTAGCGTAGGGCAGGTGTATGTGGCTTTGGTTTCTCTCCAGCAGGTTGTGCCCCAGATTGGATGGGAAGTAGAGTCAGAAGCCTCAGCACAACAGTGTGCCAGAGGGGAAACTTACCTGCTCCATCTCCACTGAATAGTGGTCTTTGTCCCAGTGGTGCTATCTACATTTTATAGACATAAGACTTGGGTTCCTGAAATAAGACGAAGGAGGGTTTACTGCTATTGTCGTAGTTGAAAGTCCTTATTAAAGGAGCACTTACCCCAATGCTACAGGGACGGAGTAGGTAAGACCAGCACAGCACTTGCTGAAACTTGGTGGTCACTGGGTCAGTTTGAGCAGCTGCAGCTCTGTCCAGCAGGGTGCCCCTGGAGGAAGCTCACCTGCCTCTTACAACAGTGGGTCCTGAGCTCTAATGCCCTGATTTCCCATGGTCACCCCCTTCCTATCCTCTTTCCTGTGCATCTCTCCGGAGAGATGGGGACCTGTCTCTTGACAGACTTCTACTGTGTGGTAGGGCCTCCCTTAGTCAGGCCTGTCCACCTGACCTTGCTAAAGCACGGGAATTCTGCACGCCAAGGGCAGAAGAGCAGAATCTTGCCCAGGCCTCCCTCAGTGATCTGCCTGCAAGGTCAAGGCCAAGACCATGCTAACTAGTACCCACGTCTGTTGACGTCCACACCTCCTAGACCAGTGTCGGCAAACCTGTTTTCCCGTATACCAGAACAGATGTTTGTATCATTGAAAGCTTTAAAGGTTCACCATTACTGTCCTAGATTGTGCACTGCACCCCTTTCCCTGCCTGCATGTCCGCACAGAAACAATCAATACCACCCCTCCCCAATAATCTATTGTTGGGTTTTAAAAGAAGTAGAAATTATGGTTATCTTCCTTTTAACCATCCTACCCTTTTATTTTTCTTGTATTTCATCACATTTTCAGTACAACGTATAATTCTGCCATTGCTGAAGTATTGCCTGGAGGTGCAGGGCAGGCACAGCGTGCCCAGGCCTTGTGCTTAGGGAGCTGAGCAGGGCTGGGAGAGCCACCAGAGCGGCATGTGGAGGCCCCAGGACAGGCTGAGTGCGGCTTTGGTCCAGGCGTTCTGTGGGCAGGACGACTGATGAGTCCTGCTCCCCGCTGAGCTCATTCTGCTTTGCCATTCTTTGGGGAAATAGTTCTGAGAGGAAGTTTTGAGCAGGTCTGTTTAGGGTGTTGTGTGTGGTCATTTTGCCAAGTTGCATGCTATCAGGATCCGGTGTGATGAAGGACTCAGGCCTGTGAGCAGACTGCTCGGGTTCAAATCGCCGTTCTGCCACTTGCTGGCTGTGGGACTTAGCCAAGTCACCTGCCTTCCCTGTCTCTCCACATCTTCATTTGCAAACTTAGGAAACCAATGGTGACAGTCACCTTTGATTTGCTGTGAAGATGAAACAACATAGGTTTTGTCAGGTTCTCAGTGTAGTGCAGCGTGCATGATAAGCACTAAATAAATGTGAGCGTTGAGGTGGATGGGGCGGGGACACCGGGCCGAGCACTGTTGGGAAGTGAGCAGGACTTGGTTCAAAAAGTAGGCTTTTGTGAAAACCTTAGGTTTTTGGTGGAGAAAGAAAATGATGTGCTAAGCATACAGAGGCCTCTGGCTAGATGAGGGATTTTAAAGAGGCACTGGCGGGTAAGGCAGGCACTGGTTATAGCAGAACAGTGGGCAGTCACTGGTACCTAATCGGTTCAACTCACTCTGTAGTTTTCAAAGACTCCAAGGAAGGTGCATGGGGATTCCTGTCCCCCACCGTGAGCTTCACCAGAGAGCTTCAGGGTTATGGGTGATGAAATCTCCATATTTTCTAAGTTTTCTGTGATCGTTACATAATCGGAAGATCCATTGCACTCTTTAAAAGCTGTGTCGTGTACAGTGTGTTAGAAGTGCTAGGATGTCGGAGGGAGGGCGCACTGAGGAGCCCAGTGCCCAGAGGTTCCACTGCAGATGTGCTCAAAGCACAAGTGGGACTAACCTGAAGAAGGGCCAGGAAGGGCCAGCCTGGCTCGCTCAGCTCAGGGTCCTCAGGAATGTTCCTGGTGCAGGGAGGTGGATGGGTGGCCCTGTCCTCCCCTGTTGTGTGGCCTTTTGCAGGTTACCAGCCTCAGTGTTCCCATCTTTAAAATCCACTGTCCTGTGGATTCATGGGGAGCTTTGCAGTGAGACTCGGAACACAAGGACTGTCGCAGCGCAGCCTCCCTGCCAAGGCCGGTGTCGGTTTCTGGCTCATGGTGTTCGTTGGCAGGAGTGGACAGTCTTCCATCTGAGACGAGCCTACCCCACACTGCTTCAGGGCCTCCTCCCTCACCAAGAAGGATCGCTCAGAGAGGTCTGGATCTTACCTACTCATTTCCTCTTGCCCTGGCACGACATGTCCCAGTGGTACATGGATGCAGATGACGGTGCCACACAGGCTGTTGCCATCGCCTGGCAGGCACTGTGCCCAGTAATGGCTTCAGAAACCCCCATGAGTTACTGTGGTGCATGCGAATTGGACAGTCACTAAGCCCTACATTTTTCTTACTTAAGGGACCCTCAGTTGACAGGTGGTGGCTATCACATGATTGAGCTAAACAATGAAACAGTGGTTACGGGTGTCAATAATGGTGATCCTGCCATTTATTTTCTGCCCAGTGTTTTCCTATCTGTTATTCAGCGATGACTTCTCGGCTGACTTCTGGAGAGTAAACAGTTCACAAGAGAAGAAAAAGCCTATTCTTCCCAATGTTGTTGCAAAACTCTTATCTTTATCCTTTCAACTAGTCTTTCCAATTGTATGAGTGTGATCAGGGACCACTGCTTTCCTGGTGTGTATCCTTCTCCTCCTTCCTTACGTCTGTGGACACAGGGATCCTGAGGCCTCCTGTGACAGGTCTCTGGTTGCTGTGACAGTGTTGTGTGCTGCTTTGCTTGATGCTGCAGTGAGAGCCCAGCTGGAGTTAGGTCCTGCGGTACCTGAGGCTTCTCGCTCTCAGTGGCCTAGTGCCTCTCCTTGGGGTTGACGTGCGATTCTTTTCCTTCTCTCAGGGAAGAGGCGCTTCTGCCAGGAAAATCCCCCTGATTCCAGCTCCCCAAGGTGAACAAGGCTGGTGTTTTGGGGTTGCCAAATGACTGGAGAAGCAGGGATGACTCCCAGTGGGAAGATTCTCTGTGGCTCAGAATCATCCAATTCTTGATTCTACTCCTGTTCTCGGGTTAAGAGCCTGAGAAGGATCTACCGGTGTGGAGCTGTCCCAGGGGTCAGACAGTCTGATGGTGAAAGAAGATGGGCACATGTAAAGTGAAGAGCATTGCTTGTGGAGAAATACACTTTTTCACGGCTTTGGTTTCTGTCCATGTTATAAACATTCAACTCCGTGTTGTTTTTAGGGAAGACAGTAGCTCCTGAAAGTAAAAGAGCAACTACTACACTTGCCCATTTTTCTCTTACACCTATCCTTTCACCTCCTTCATTTGTCCTTCTATCAAGAAGACAGACTGACTGGCCAGGATTCCTTCATGGGTTTCTTGGGACCAACAGCATTGTGGATGGTTAAGATAAATGGTGTCAAATTAGAGTCCCACCCAAATTAAGAGTCCCACCACTCAGGATGTGGTTGGCAGTATCTCTGTCACCTGAGACCTTGTTAGAAATGCAGAGTCAGGTCTGCTCTGAGATGCTTCAAGTTGAGAGATTCATTGTAGGTAGACTTCTGTGTCAATCACACATACAACAAATCCTGCTTCAAGGGAGCCTCTGGAAGGCACGGACAGAGACCTGTGAGATCCCAGGCACCTGCCGCAGCCAGAACCGACCCATCACGCCTTCCAGGTTTGCGCCACATGGCCTCCCATTTTATACAGATACCAGTCCACAGTGCTAGCCATGAATGGCCTCTTAGTTCATACCATTGTCCAGGGGATCTGAGCTAGGCTTACAGGCTTTCTGGGCCTATAGGACTATATTTCTCAGGTGTTAGTAGCTTTTTCATGTGTGGCCCTGCATGTGGTTGTTGTATGACTCTAGGTTACTCCAACAAGGTTTTGCAGCCTTGGGAAATGCCGACACTTTTGTCCAGAGTGAGCAAAGACTTCTGTTTTCTCAATCAACTAAGAGAATTCACTGAAATAGGAATGAATGGTTGTAACTGTCAGGAATAATTTAAACATACCAGGCACTTCAGCTCTTTCTGCCTGTTTCCCTCTTCATAATAAGAATGTGTTGGTGTGGTGAAAGCAAGTACTCCAGGATCCTTCTAGTCTGTTTGTCCTCCTGTCTCTGATAGACCTTCTTGACTGTGTAAGATGTGGATCTAGAAGTTAAATGCATAGCCAGGCATGCTCGTGCACACCTAGAACCCCAGCACAATGGGAGCCTGAGGCAAGGTAATCACAGGTTTGAGTCTAGTGTGGGCACTTGAGTGACTTCAGGAGACCCTATCTTAAAATAAAAATAAAAAGGGCTGGGAATATAACTCACTGGAAAAGCCCGGAGTTCACTTCCCAGTAACAAACACACACACGTGCACACACACACACACACAATTTGCCCACCATAGATGGGAATGGGACATAGTTGGGACTACTGTAACACTACATCATATCTGTATGATACCCTTAGAATCCCAGGCAAATCCTTGTTCTGTTATTTTTCCAGTCTGTGTGTGCTTCCAGATTGTATATTTGCTCATAAATGTAGGCATAGACACTAAATATTTTTAAAACCTGTTTTTCCTGGTAGAATAGACACAGCATTGACAGACAGACATCTGTCTCCATGGTAGCTTGATAGTTAGGTGTGGGAAGTTTGCAGTCAGATTGCACAGGTTTGAGTATTGACTCTGTCCTTATCTATAAAGGGGGTCGTAATAGCACCTTCCCCACAGACAGTAAGTGCCCAGCAGAGTCACTTAATACTGTTAACTATTGTCATGACATCTGGAGCATGATGGAATTGTCTGGCTGAATGAAGCTGGGAATCAAACAGAGAGGCTGATGGAGAGAGGCTCGTCTCTTCTCACTTCCTAGCGTGAGAAGAAAGTGCTGCCTAATTCACAGCAAGGGGCGTCCGGGAGGGAGCCCAGCCAGAGAGAGGCAGAGAGCCCTGCTGGAGGCAGGCTACAGAAGCAGCAGGGACTCCCTGAGGCGCCGATCTGGCTGTGGGAAGCAAGGTGACCTAACTAGATGTGTTTCCATGAGACTGGGCAGTTTGCAGACCACAGTGCCAACTTTCTCCTCTGCGTTCACATTGTCCTTTGAGTTCCGGAGTTCCTCTGTGAGGTAGATCAGGGGTCATGGTTCCTCCTTCGCAGAGGAGGCTGCGGAGGCTCAGCAGAGATAGCAGCTTGGCAGAAGCAAGTACCAACTGTTAAGGGCCGTGGTGTTGGAACTTCATGTCCAGTGTATTTGTTCTCGCCACTTCTCAAGGGAGCTGCAGACCCTGCAGCACCAAGTCATTGAAAACCACTGTCCCCACCCCACAAGGCAAAGAGACAGGGCAACTCTGGAAAGAGCAGTCAGTCAGAAACATTGCTGCCAGCGGGAAGGCCTCCCTGTGGCCAGTACCCAGCAGCCCTTAACTGTGGTATATGGGTTAGGTAGGGAGAAGGGAAGGGAGGTGGTAACAGCATCGCCCCTTCATCGAGGCCTGCGAAGCTGAGGCAGGAGACGGGTGTGCTATCTACAGTGTGCGTCTGTGCCAAGCACCTAGGTATGCTACGAAGAAGAGTCATTGGTGGCATGTCCGTGTAGGACAAGGATGACAGATACGTAGATGCATGCCTCCCCTGAGCCTGCCTCATCCCTGACAGTCACTGCTGCCTGACCTTGATGTTTCCCACCTGGCTTTCTGAACCCAGGCCTCCACGCAGCCTCTACCAGTCAGATCTGTGAAGTGAGAGGAAACCTGTTGACCAAACCTCCTTGTTGGCATCCCTTTGGGACAGGGAACAGTTAAGAGTTACTGTTGAATTTCTGTGTCTTATTTTGGTGTGCAGGTGGCTCTGGAGTTCCTGGCGGTGGCAGCAGCAGTTTTAGTTTACCGGCTGCTTAAACTTACCATTCATTTGACACTTCCACTTGGCTGTGTTCTCAAGCAGCTCCTCAAATAAAAATTGACCACCCGTAATAGTAACGAATGGCCTTCACTGTGACCAGCCATCTTTTTTCTCTCATTTAAAGCAAATTCTTTTATTCCATTCACTAAAGTCTGAAAGGCAGACAGTGATAAGAAAAAATGTTTTCCCAAACCCACAAGGCTGGACCGTCCTGTCCAGTAGCTGAGGCGCGCTTTCCTGGCCTCCACTTCCAGCCCAGTGTCTGAGCTCTGAGGGCGTGGAGTGTGTGGGCAGTTGGCTGTGTCAGGGCTTTGTGAGCCCAGTGAGAGCCGCTGTTCTAGGACTTGAGAGTTCAGGGATTATTGACTGGGACCTGCCCCTCATTCCCCATTGGAGAGTTGGGGTAGGGTGGGGGATATAGGGAGACAATCTAAAGTAAAAAGACCGGTCAGGCTTATGGATAGGGCTGTAACGCATTGAGCATTTGGGTCAGTAGAGCCACTCGGTAAAGTAGCCTAAAATTGATCAGTGCAGGCCCCCTGGGTAGATGTTCTTTGGCCACTAGCAGCTGGTTATCACTGATAAGCCCAGGGGCCCCCCTGAAGGCTGCAGCTTCCTGCCAGCTCCAGAGCTCATAGTGTGCAGGCCTGGCAAATCACACTCAGTTTCTAATCAAAGACTGTCAGCGCCTTTAAAAAGTGGTTATCATGAATTTACTGTTGATTTCCCTGGCCATAGTTGTGGAGCATTTGGAGCATACAAAAAGATAAAAAGGAAAAATATCCTCAGCCCTACAATCTACAAAAAAAAAAAAAAGTAAACTCTTTAATATTTGGATTATATCTTATTAAAGTCTGTGTGTGTGTGTGTGTGTGTGTGGGGTACTGAGGGCTGAACCCAGGGCCTCATGCTTACTGGACAAATAACTATACCGTGGAGCCATATCCCCAGCCCTTCTTAAATTTTATTTTGAGACAGAGTTTTACTTAGTTTCCCAGGCTGGCTTTGAACTTGTGGTCCTTCTCTACTACTGCGCCTGGCCTCTAGGTATAAATTTTAAGAAAATCTGTGTCATGGGGAAAATGTAATTTTTTACCATGCTATTTTTACACTTGCCTATGTTTTATATCACTAAATATTTTTTAAGTGTCATTTTAAGTGGACATGTAATTCTGTTACTGATGCATCATAATTTATTTAACCATTTGCCGTTGAATATTTTAGTTGTTCCAACATTTTTATACAGCCAGGCATTGGGGCACTTGCCTGTAATCGCAGCACTTGGGAGGCTGAGTCAGGATGACCGCCACAACTCTGAGGCAACCAGTCTGGACCACGTCATTGCTTCAAGGCCAGCCCAAACTACATGTAGCAAGACCCTGTCAAATAATAAGATAAACATTTTAATAAATGTATTCTTCATAGTAGCAGCGTGTTTTTAAGGGAGAAAATAAGTAGGGGATGGATTCTTGACCTGTTTTTCCTGTGGCACTAGTGATTGAAAGTAGGGCTTTTAAACTGAGGTATATCCCCAGCCCTTGTTTCATTTTTTATTTCAAGATAGGGTCTCAGTAAATTGCCCAGGATGGGCTTGAACTCTTGCTCAGTTTCTCCCTGAGCCTCCCAGCGGGCTGGGAATATAGCACATGATGGTAGCGTGTCAGCCCTGTCCATCACACACTCCCGCCGACATCCCAGGGGCGTGTGTGTGCACAGATACCATATCCCCGGGCAGATGTGATATGTGGTTCTGTGCTTTGATACTTAAAAATAGAGATTCTCTGGGCTCCCAGTAGAAAGTTTATAAAAACAACAGTAGGGGTAATTGAGCCTCTCAGGAAATCATAGTTGCTGTAAATCCTGCCAGGTGCCTTGGAGTTTGGATATAATGCCTCTTATCTTCCTGCATGTGGTCCAGCTAGCTCATGCTCACAGCTGTTTCTTTTCTTCTGTCCCTGTAGTTACTGGGGCTTCCAGATGCAGATGACGATGCCTTTGAAGAGTACAGTGCGGATGTGGAAGAGGAGGAGCCTGAGGCGGACCACCCCCAAATGGGGGTCAGTCAGCAGTAAAACTGCGAGGGCGCCTCTGGAGAAGGAGAGTGAGCCCTCCGGTACCTTTGGTGGGGTAGTGCTCCTGGGTTAGCATTTTGCATTAGCACCTCAAAACAGGACGTCTGGCTCGCAGCATCCAAATTCAAATGAAATACCTTTTTAACGACCACAAAATATCTGTGATGAGCTTTGCTCTGAAGTGACCTGAATTTCAGTCCCACTTCAGTGGGGTTTCTATGGAATTGTCTTGGTAGCCTTTGCCACTTTGAATCTAGAGTCCATTTTGTGGCTGCCTACTCTCTCTTGAGTTTATGTTGGAGAATTAACATTTGCTGCCTGGAATGCAGAGAACTCTGAGTGTATTAAGGATGTGTTTTGAGTCCTCACAGGTGACCTCGCTGAGGAAAAGCACGGCAGAGAAGAAATGCAGTCTGCACTTTTTGTGTACCTTTAAGTGTCCATAAGTGAAAGGTCTTGCTTATAAAGCATGAGTTTTAATATCTAGTCATTAAACCACGCAAGTGCAAAGGCAAGGACAGAAGAGGAGAACCACTTAGCTTTGGATTAAGTGGGTAAGAGAGGCAGAGAAGCCATGAGAGTTTCGCCATTACTAAATTAGTACCTGCCTGTGTAGCAGCTGGTTCCTGAATAGGTGTAAATGTTACTTCCTTGTTCAGTTGTTTGAAAATATGCTAATTCCAAAGCTCCTTTTAAAATCTAATAGTGGAAGATATAAATGGGGTGAAAGACATAAATTATTGACTTCTTTCAGCTATTTATAAAGTGTCCCACATATGAAATCAAACATTTACCTTTTCTCTTTTTAATGAGGTGGAAACTTGTTAAATTGTGAAGACACCTAGAATCCAAGTAAGTGCCACTTAAATTTTGAAGCCATAGATAAATTTAAGAGGAAAAATAAATCAGGATAAAAAAAATTTTTTAAATACAATGGAATTCTCCTTTACTTTCTTAATCTTTTATTCTTTAAAAATGAAAAGTCAGGAAAAGGCTCCTGTTATGTTATTTAGTTAAAATTATAATCAAGTACTTTCAAGAGACCTCATGGCAGTGAATTCCTAGAGTGCCATGGAAGTAGGAATATTTATCATGGGGTAGCTGGGTTAAAAGGGGGCATTTTAGTGATCAAGATACTCAGACAACTCACAAAGACAGTTGTTGTCATTATTTAGCCAACAGATATTTACGGGTATATCCTTTGCAACACTAACGTGGAATTATTTGAAATGCTCATTTTCCTGGACCCTTCTGCATCTCTAATACCTAAGGATGCAGTGCCTCCTTTTCACTACTTGACTGTTCGTAGCATCTGGGTTGGACATGTCTTAAGCACACATGTGCCCATTAGGTCATTAGCATTTTGAATTTAAGAAAAAAGAAAAACCAGGAGTAGCCGAAGCCACAGAACTCATGGGAGTCTTGTATATCTTCCAGGCATGTCGGTGTAAACCTGATCGTCTCAGCATTCTCTGTCTGAGTGGTACTATGGGGAGTGCAGCCTTTCGTGGTCGAATAGTGTACTGCAGTCTTAAGTCCTCAGGTGAAATAACACAGTGGTTTCCATCTGTGCTTTAGTTCCCACCTTTTCTTCTTTGCTTGGAAAATATAAACGGTTAGTTTCAAGTTAAATGAATTTTTTTCAAGTAGCCTATTAGCAAAACCCACTCTGAGGTGAGTGGGTCCTGCCTTTTGCAGCCCTGCTGGTGTTCCCACCGGCTCTGCTCTGCAGCAGAGAAGGCTGAGCCCTTCAGTCTGTAGCCATTGCCCAGTTTGGTACTGTCCACTTTTACACAGCAGACTGCAAGAATGCATTCCGCAGCAGAAATGAAGCTCTGCTAGCTTGCTGCATCCTAAGGTAAACTGAATTGTATACGTACAGCCTTCAGATCTAAATTTACATATGTTTGGAAATGGAATGGACATTAATATAAAACGTATTTTATCAAGGAAGTATTTAGACTTTGTCCAGTACATTTCGGTATTACCATGTTAATGTTCTCTGTATAACAGTGGAGCTGAGATAGACTGGGCCATTCAGTGGGCTGATGAGAATTCCAGGCTTTGTTCCACCCCAGGGTAAGAGAGAACAACACTGGATATGACTTACTTTCCATGGCAGGACCCCAGAGGCATTAGCAAATCTGATTGTTTGCTTTCAAACTTCCTTTTCTTTAATGGTGTGCAGGGTTCTCCAGTGTTCCCATTGGCCCGCGTACACACACACGCACACACACACGCACACACACACTCACACACTCATACCTGCCACACTGTGGCTACTCTCTGTGGAGCTGTGAAGCAAGACCAGCTTATGAGGTGAGTGAGGTTGGCAGCCTGTGGATTGTTTTGGAAATTCTTCCTCAGCTGAGGCAACAAGTTCATGACCTTTCTCAGAGGTCCAGACCAGAGTCACTTAACCAGGAGGCAGTGATGGTGTGAGAGGAACATCTCTTGGAGTAGGAGGGATTCTGGGTCCTCGCCTTGACTCTGCCATTTTCTGTCTAACTGTGACGAGTCATTTAACTAGACCCTGCATCAGAGCTCTTTGCTCTTCCAGCATTAAACACTGCTTTTGCGCCTGCCTTAGGAAGTACGTGTGTGTAGGAATAACTGTCAAGGATAGTTAGGGCCAGGAGAAGGAGAGGTGTTTGGAATCTCGACAGAAATGCTGTCTTTAGAATGATGGCCACCAGCCCCCTTAGAACATGTTTGGAGCCTGGTCTGGGCCCAGTCAGTGCAGTTAATGAGATTCTGTCCCTGCGAGGAGAAGGTGAAACAAGGCCCCAGAAGATGTACTCGTCTTGGCCATCCCTGCTGCATCTGCAGAAGGTAGAGCTTCTCTTGGTGCCCTGACGCCCTGACACTGGGGGCTTTGGGCTTGGTAAACGTTTAACTGGGGTGGGGGGAATGTGCATGAGACTAGCTGGAAGAGAGTAAAAGATAAATACTTCGATTATTTTGTCCTGTCATTCAGGAGAAAGGAAGTGACAGTGAAAGTTAAAGTCAGAGAGCGAATGCGTCTGTGCGGTAGCATGAGGGAGAATGAGGTGTGACTGACAGCTTGCTGGTCACGTGGCCAGCTGTGAAATTTGAAATCTTGGTTGTGACCACATGGCACAGCCTTGGCCCTGGGTGTGAGTGAGCCGCGGAGACCTCTTGTGTCTGGCTCCTTTGCTCTGCCCAGTGATTATGTCATGCAGGCTTCAGGGAGTCGGTGAGTTTCGGAGCTGGGGAGGGAGGCAAAGCCCCATGTGGTGCCTGGTGCCGCCACGAGTCCACTGCACAGAGGCTCCGTGTGTATCGTCCAGGCCCACAGCAATGCACGGTACATTTTATTTTTCCATAACCAGAACACAGAAAGTCCATTATGTAGGGCGATTCTTCTTGTGTCCCGGTGCCAGAATTGGGTTTCTAGTGTACTTCAGGGGAAACCTCTCTCCTTTAGCAGTGACTGGCACTGTTTGTGTATAAATAGAAACTGTTCTGTAGCACAATACATGTCTCTGAGTATGTTTCGGTTTCATGAGAGCACAAAGTGTATGGTCCTAGGGGAGCTGTGACCCCAGAGCGTCACTGCAGTTTATATTTTAGGAACCTGCTTTGCATGTTAAAATTCATACGTTAAAAAACTGGCACACATCTGATTTCCCATAGTGAGGGGGATGTCGGAACAGACAGGATTTAATGTGGGTGTGAGGAGAGGAACTGGGGCAGGGGGAAATTAGGTCTTAGAAGTCAGGTCTGACTCATGAAAAACAAAAGCAAAAACCAGTCATCGTCACCCTGTGAGGCACAGGAAAACTCTTCATGGCTCTTTCTAGGGGCTGGCCTTCCTCAAAGAGACTGAGTGTTGGGAAGATGTGGTGATGGGTTTGTGGCTTTTAAAAGACCCCTGGCCAAGGACACAGCAGGTGTCTTGCACCTCTGGTGGGACTCTTTTCCTTAAGGAACCCAGCTGCCAGCCAGAGAAGCCTGTCTTCCTGGAGAGCTGGTAGGTCCAGGAGGGGCCGTGGTCAGGACATGTGGGGCAGCCCACCTTCCCCACCCGCTCCAGGGTTGCAGAGGGAGCACAAGGAAAGCTCCAGCTGGGGGCAGATCGCTTCTTCCCAGGGGTGAGTCAGCTCCAAAGAGATGCTGTTGCTGGTTGCTTCCTCTTTAGAGAAGCCTAAAAAATTTTTTTTGGCATTAAAAAATAATCCTCTTGTATAACAACCCACTCAGTTATCTTGGCCTTCCGATAACACATATGACACAATAAGCTGAGTTCTTTTAGATTTTATACAGAATAATTCTAAAACTTGCCAGAATGCCTATAGCCTGTGGTCCCTATGGAAGTGAACATTTCATGTTGAGAAACCCATTTATAGCACTGTAAGGCATAAGCAGTTCAACGTGTGTCCCAGGCCACATAACGATGAACATTTAGTTTGCTTAGAACTATGTTCAAGTTGTTTGGTACTAGAGGACGTTGGCAGTCTGTCTTGGTAAGCTGCCTTTCCCTGGGTTTTTCTGTTTTTGTTTTTGTTTCTCAAGATTCATTTTTTCACCAGGTACTATAAAGATGCAGAATGGCACTCTGTACACCAAATGTCAGCTTCTTAGAGGAGGAAGTAGATCTTCAGTGATAGACAGATCTAACACAAAATGTGATCCAGTCCTGATCTGTGAATGAAAGGCAAAATGTAGCCATCCGCACAAGAAGGCAAAGAAGGAAAGAATGGGGTTTTGGTTTGTTTTTTGCTTCGTTGATGTTGTTACTGTTGTTTTAGGCGAGAAGTGTTTCCTGTAGGGTGTGTGTTCTTTTTTTGCTTTCATATTTCCTTTAAAACAAATCTCTTGTAAAGTAGAAAACTGTGAAATGGGTTGCCAAAAACTGTTGCCCTTTGTTAGACGCCTCGAACCCTGTAAATCCTCTCTCGCACCCTGTCCCCATCTGTTCCCTCCTCCCTCCCCGGGAGAGCAGGAGCTCATCCAACGCTGTAATTACCATCCGCTTGCTATTAAAGAGCCTTCCAAATCCTGGTGGTATTTGCCTCTTGTTTACTTTCTCCACAAAGTTCGGTCCTGCAGACACCTTATGTGACTTATAAATGCCCAGCCAGGACCATCAGCAGGGGGTGGGCAAGAGACCTGCGATCAGAAAACAGGAGGCAGTTACATCGAACACTGACACAGATTCAAAGGTTAATGGTTTGTGTATTTTGAGAGTCATTCATGTATCTCTCCTGGTGTGGCAGTCAGTGTTTAGTAATTCTCCACTCCTCCTTTGAACTAGTACTTTAGTTTTGTATAAGAGGACTTTTTTTTTCTAACCCAGTTAGGAATCTTTTGTGGCACAGTTAGAAGTCTGTGTCCTGTGGCCACCCAATGACGACGCAACACCGTGGTCCTGCTCCTTTCCTCCCGGTCCTTGTAACTTACTGCCCAGTGGCATTTAAATAATAAATCTAAAGGCTGGTGGTAAGTTCCGCTGTTTGATTAAGAGCAAGTTGGTTTCTTCAAATGAATGGGTCTCCATGGATTGTGAAATTAGATTTGAGAGCAGCTTAATAGGCATAGGATAGAGGCTTGTGTGTGTGTATGTTTAAATAACTTAATTTGGGATTTTTTGTTTTCAGTGTGGCTATTATCCATAATTTTAACCAAGCTTCGGGCTGGTGCACTCGTTCTAGACCTCTGGCCCAGCCCTGAGTGTGGCAGGGCGCCGCAGACAAAGGCTCCTTGTGGGAGGGCCCCTTTGTTCTGTGACTTGAGCGCTCTAACAGGCATATTCTGTAATGTAACTTACATAATTGTAGGTGTTAGAAACATCCACATGTCAAGCTGGGTACCTCAGGCACATCTCTCGGGAGGCAGAAACTGCAGAATCCCTTTAGCTCAGGAGTGCTGAGATTAGCCAGGGCAACACAGCAAGATTCTGCCTCAGAAAACCTACATTTCCTCTTTGTAGTTAATTATTCTGAAATCACCTGGGAGGAGGAAAAGGTTTGAGCTCAGATTTGTCCCTGATGGTCTGTGTGACCCTAGGCGTATCCCCGTTGCCCCCACTCCAGCCTTTGTTTCCTCATCAGTGAAATTAAGCACGAAGACTCACGTCTGCGTTCTGCTCAACAGTGACATTATTTTGTCCCTGTTCAACAGTGACAATATTTTGCCTTGGCCTTGGAGCCAGTGAGGCAGGTGGGGAGCACAATGCTAGGCCAACACTGGCATTGGCAAGCTGCCCTCAGACTAGAACCTAAGTTCTTTTCAGAAAAAAAGATCCCAGTAAATAGTGTAGGTGTGTAGCAGCCAAAATGCCAGTGGTCCTAAATGGGTTTTTTTTAAATATTTTTTTGGTTTTTTCCTTCCTACTCTACCCTGTTTTTCCAGTATTGGGTATTGATCTCAGGGCTTTTGCACTAAGCTACATCCCTAGCACTTTATTTTTTATCTTGAGATAGGGTCTTAACTAAGTTACCCAGGCTGGCCTCAAACTTGTAGTTCTCCTACCTCAGCCTCCCAGAGTGCTAGGGTTACAGGTGTGCAGCACCACCTGGCTACTCCCTGCCTGTTACCAGTAATGAGGGCTAAAAGCTCTGTTGCTTAGAGATCTGATAAACAGTCTCATTCCGTAGTGAACTCAGGCTGGTGGGAGTCTGCACTGTCTCAGGCTCATGCTACAAGGGACACAACAGTCCCCAGTCCCGGGGCCCAGGCCTGTCCTGGGGCTGGACTAGGTGCACTTGGTGTAGTGTGCAGGAGGCCTGGACAGTAGTTTTGCCTGGTGCCCTGCCGAATTGGGGTGAACAGACATTCCCTTCTCTGTTCGGCAGCCCTGCCCATCTGGTAGTCTGGAAACTGCAGAACAGGATCCCGAAATAGCTGGCACTATACTTTTCCTCTTAGCCCCATAGCAGGCAGGAAGCCTCTGAAACACGTTGTACCTTTCCGGGACGCACCTTTTCTCTCTTTGCATTGGAAACAGTGACATTTTTAAACATTTGGGGAAGTGGTAATTACGCAGCCAAAAAACAAGGCAGGAATTTCTACTAGGGAGTGTTCAAAGTAGTAGGAGTTTTCTCCTCCTTTATTTGCTAGAGAAATACTGAGACAACCAGGGAATGTAAACAGCAGTGAAATGAAGCGGGTCCTACGGGATGCTTTTTAATTGGAAGCCTCTAGAGGTCAGCACCACATAAAGAAAGGACTCAGGCCTTTCCTCTGTGGAGCCTTTGTGAGCCCAGGACCCTACTAGACCTGGAGAAGGAGGACTGGCCCAGCTGGGCGGACGGGAGGGAAATGTAGTGTGCTTTTCTTTATTCATTTGACCCCTGTGCCCCGCTTTTTGCTTCTCACCCGTCTTTCTCTGCAGCTCCAGCACCCACATATCACAATCAGCTGACTGACCAGTGAATGAAGTGTGGCATTTAGCTCACTCCGCGAGGGTTGGGGGAATGCTATAGACGAGATGGGGCCCCATTCGCTTCTTTGGCAGGTGCCGGGCTGTTCTGCATTCTGCTTCCTGCTTGTTAGACCGCACCCTTGGTCCAGCCTGTGACTCCCAGCGAGCTTCAGGGTGCTGGGGCAGGACCAGGACCGTGTGTTTCTGCCTCAGCCCAAATCTAGCTCCTTGAGGCCTGCATGGTTCAAAGGTAGTGCGGGGAAGGATTTGATCTTGAGAGCAGGGCAGAACTGAGATAGTGGTACTCCCTGAAAACTGATAGGCACCCTGGGGCTCCCATGCAGAAGGTGCACAAACACCATGCAGAGATGACCACAGGCTTCCCATCCACCCACCGCCAAACCCCAACCAGAGGCAGCCTTGGCAGTCCCCAGGGGCTCCAGCATGCCCCTGGGTTTCCTTTTAGCCAAACAGGGAATAAGAGAGGTAAACAGTAGCTTTTCTCCCTTTCTCTTTCCCTTATGTTATTGTTCCTATCTTCTGAGGAGGCTTCTCACACCATGGCCAAAGGGTCTTGAACATCCCCCACTGTTGGGGATTGTGATGAGTCTTGGATCCTGGCGCTAAGAAGGGCTATCAATGAAGAGCCCACAATGTCCATGCGTATTGAAGCTGGAGTCCTCAGAAAAACCCTTAATGTTTAGAAGCTTAACAGCAATTGCACTAATACCATTAAATTTCAGAGAGGTGGTTTTTGGATCCTGCTGAGGAAGTACTGTATATTCCTTACAAGTCTGGAGCAGCCTGGTGAGTTTTTAGCTATTTTGTCATGAAGCAAACAGTACAGAGTGAATACCTAAGATATATGGGCTGATACATAGGAAGACAAATTAGCAAACTATTATGTAGTTTTTGCTGAGTACCAGGCACTATACTAAGCTCCTTTAATTCTCCCAAAATCCTATATAAGGATTAATATCTTCCTTTTACCGATGAGGAAACTGAGGCACAGAGAAACTAGGTAACTTTCACGAGAACACACAGCTAATGCTGGCATTTGAACCCAGGCAGTTTGGCTTCAGAGCAGTGTTTACTTGCTCTCAATAGCACCATGGGAGGTGTAGTCTAAGTCAAATGAAAGCTGGTTCCTTTCACACCGCTTTACAGAAGCCCTACCTGTAAGTTCCATGCAGTGAAAGCTGCTAAGCTGCATGGCTGCCCAAGCACAGATTGGAAGGGAGAACACTGCGTCAGCTCTGACCAAGTTGGCCACATTGGGTGGACTCGGATGCACTTGTCAAGATTTGAAAGTAGCTGGAAGAGCTAGGGCAACAGATTTGTAAAATTAGAGGATTCTCAGGCATAGGGAAAGCTGAGGGGAAAACCCATCTGCCTTCCTTTCTGGCTCCTTCTCTCTGGGTCTTTTACCCTCAACACTCAGCGTGCTGGGTAAGGGCAGTAACTCACCATGGTGAACGGCTTTTGCCCAGACTTCCTTGAAACAACCAGCAGCAGAAGTGCAGTCTCAAGATAAGACCTGAAAGCAAGAAGGAAGCTCTCCTGGGCCACTGATCTCTGGTCTGAGGAAACTGAGTCAGTATCACAGGGTTTCAGTCACCAGGTACCCCACAAACCATCCAGGCCTGTTTCCAGCTGCTTTCCAGCCCTCTGCAGAATGCCCCTCAACCACTGCCACTGCGGTCCAGTAGTCATGTGGCTCACTAGAGCACTGTGCAGGGAGGGTGAGTGGAAACTGGACTGTGCATTTCAGAGATGACGCTCAGTGTGCTTTTGTGAGCATCTGCTTGTTTAAATCATCTCTGCTCATACCGCCCTTATTGACATAGGGAGAAGGAAGCTGGTGAGATCCATACTGATCCTTCAAGGGTACCGAGGACAATTGTTCTTTGAAGTTCATCATCTGAATTTAATGTGGGATATCATTAAATCTTTTTCTAGATAACACTGTTACTTCAAAAACATCTCCTTGCAGTGTGTGAGTAGGCTTACATTTTCAGACTGTACTTGGAAGAAAATATTGCATGGCGCATGAGTTTCATCCCATGCCATTGCCAGCTGGCTTGTATGTGACACCCCCTGGCAGTGGTGGTGAGAATCCTGGACAACAGTATTAGCAGTCCTTTTCTCTCCTCCTTGTTAGGAATATGTGAGAGGAGGTGTTGAAAAAGTGAGGGTAGAGATGAATGAAGCCGTCTATCAACTCTCTGTTTCTTTGTTTTATGGGGATTCCAGTTCCAGGGTCCTGAGCCAAACGGTCTAATTGGGCAAAGCATCTGGTGCTCACCTGGCCAGGTTTTTGGGCAGGGGACAGAAGGCTTGGGACATTCTTTGCAAATGTAAGTACAGTTGCCAGAACCCTCACGAAGACTTCTCAGGTTTGCTTTCTGCACACTGCACCCTCCGCCTTTCCTCGCCTTCTTGCCTGTCCCTCGTCCCGAGGTTAAAACCAGTACACTGGCTGCAGGGTGGCTGTGTTTGGTAGAAGAGCAAAACCAGTCCAATGAGTTTTGATTTCTCCTTCCTATAAAGACTGCACTGCTGATGCTGGTAAGCTCCTAAGCAGCTCCTGTAATTGGTTATAAAAAGAAGCTAATCAGTGATTGTTCTGGAAGCACAA